CGCTTCCCCCACCCCGGACCCTTTGCCCCGGGGTCCCGCCCGAGCCGGGCTAAGGTGGGCCTCTCCCCCTCCCCCGCTGTCGCCGCTTCTGAATTTCCCCTTCTGCATGCTGAGCCCAGCCAAGGCGCACACCTGATCTTTCTCCACCTGCTTCGCCACCTCCTCCCTGGGGACGGGGGCCCGGAAAAGGGCATGTGGATCCCCCTCTGACGGTGGCAGGATTTGGGGTGACACGCGCCCAGATGGCCAGGTGGCTGCGGGACTACCTGAGCTTTGGCGGTCGGAGGCCCCCTCCGCAGCCGCCCACCCCCGACTACACGGAGAGCGACATCCTGAGGGCCTACCGGGCGCAGAAGAATCTGGATTTTGAAGACCCCTATGAGGACGCCGACAACCGCCTGGAGCCGGACCCCGCCGGCCCTGGGGACTCCAAGGGGTCAGGAGACGCCAAGTACGACTCTCCCAAGCACAGGCTCATCAAGGTGGAGGCTGCGGACATGGCCAGAGCCAAGGCCTTGCTGGGCAGCCCCGGGGAGGAGGTGCGTGGCTGGGTGGCCCCGGGAGGCTGGATGGGGAGGCTCAGGCTGTGCCCTGTCCCCCCATCTTGGAGAGCTTGTTTAAGGTGGGCCAGAGCACCAGAGGGACACTTGCCAGTCTTACGCCTACTTGTCAGAGTTTGATATCTGTCTTTGCAATGCACGATGCTGGTTGTCCCTCTGACCGGCCCTGCTTTGTCTTTCTGTCCTCCCGCTCCCTGGCCATACCTCACCTGCCATCCCCTCCCCTCCACTTCCCTTCCTCTTGGCAGTTGGTGGGATCTTCCCAAACCGTCTGAGCAAGGCACTCTCCTTCTGGGCACTTAAACATCCTCACCATGACTCTGCCCTTCCTGCTGTTATGATTCCCATTTTACAGAGGTGGAAACTGAGGCTCACAGAAGAGAGGTGACTCACCCAAGGTCACACGGCTCCAGCGAGTTGAGATTTGATTCCACACCTGTCTCCAACGCCTATGCTTTTTTTCAATATGTTTCCTAGAGGATTGGGGAGTTGACCCCAAAGCTTCAGCAGAGACAGTTGCCAGAGAGGGATTTGAGGAGGGCCACTAGGTGCTGTACTGAGTTGTGGTTCATGGCACCAGAAAGGGAATAGGAGGCAGGGACTCAGGGGAACCAGACAGCTGAGATCAAACTCTGCCTCTGACTTACCAGCTGTGTGACCCTGTACAAGTCACTTACCTTCTCTGTGCCTTGGTTTCCCCATCTGTAAAATGGGGATAATGTACTTACTGGATGTTGGTATTACGAGTAAATATAGGGAAAGCATTTAGAGCAGAACTGGCACCTGGTAAACATTACAATTACCGAAGGAGGGAAGCAGGTGTCTGTGTTGGGGAGAATCACAGTAGCCTGGAGGAAGTCAGCAGGGGAAGCTGGCAGCTGTGTGCCAACTCTCGTGAGTGCTAGAGTAGACTCCCTACCCTCCCCCCGCCAAAAGAACTGCTTGGAGATGTGTCAGATGGCCCAGAGGGGGCAGGCAAGGAGTGTAACATCACCCAGCAGGGCATCCAGAGCTACGCTCGGCCCCCCTGAGCCCTGGCCCCTCTCCTTCCTTCTCTCCCCAGCTGGAAGTCGACACCGAGTATTCAGACCCTTTTGATGCCCAGCCTCATCCTCCTCCCGCGGATGACGGTTACATGGAGCCCTACGATGCCCAGCGGGTCATGAGCGGTGAGTGGGCAGGGATTGGGGGATAGATACAGAGGCCAGGTGGGAATAGGCTCTGACCAGTGTCCTTGGCCTCCCAGAATTGCCATGCAGTGCCCCTCTCCTTCCTTCTCTCCCCAGCTGGAAGTCGACACCGAGTATTCAGACCCTTTTGATGCCCAGCCTCATCCTCCTCCCCCGGATGACGGTTACATGGAGCCCTACGATGCCCAGCGGGTCATGAGCGGTGAGTGGGCAGGGATTGGGGGATAGAGACAGAGGCCAGGTGGGAATAGGCTCTGACCAGTGTCCTTGGCCTCCCAGAATTGCCATGCAGAGGGGTGCAGCTGTATGATACACCCTATGAAGAACAGGACCGAGATCCAGGGGATGGACCCCTTTCCGGGCAAAGGCCTCGACAGAGCAGGCTGCCCCAGGAAGATGAACGGCCAGCGGATGAGTATGACCAACCCTGGGAGTGGAAGAAAGACCACATCTCCAGGGCATTTGCAGGTGCTTCTCCCACCCAGGCCCTGACTTCTGAATGCCCCTTCCCTTCATTTCCTCATCTGGTCATGTCCCCTGATTCAACTTAGAAAGTAGAGCCCAATCACCTGCCACTTTGGTAGTTTGTTAATTCTCACTAAAGTGTGAATGACTGATAGTCGTAACTTCCTCTTCCCAAGAGAATATACATCTTCCTTGGAAACTAAAATGCCTTTTAGAGTGGAATGGAACCTATTCATTCTGCTCAGTATAGTGCAGGGAGAGGAATATGGCTTTGGTGTTACACTAGACCTGGCTCTGTGTTACTGGGGCAAGTCACTTTATGTCCTTGAGTCTCAGTTTCCTTACTGTAATATGGAGATCATTCTAGTACCTACGGAACATGGCGCTTGTAAACTGAGTGCTAGAAAGTGCACCATTATGCAGGAGGTTTTGGGAGGAAAGGGCAGTACTTCTTAGTAGCTGCCAGTCAGGTAGACTTGGGGTCAATTCCTAGCTGAGTTGAGTGAGCTTGGACAAGTCTCTGAACCTCAGTTTCCTCCTCTTTAAAAGGGATAATAATAAGGTCAACTTTAAGAAACAAAATAATTCGGACCAGGAGGAGTTGTGACAACCCAGACTTGCCCCAGAGGTTGTGTGACTGGGAGGGGGGTCGGGGCTCCGTGCCTTGATCTACCTCTCTGCATATTGGGGGTGGTATTCTAGTTCTATGACTTGGCCCCAATAGGGGCAGAACCCCGGAAGGGAACTGGGGAGTCCATGGCTCTAGTCGGAAACTTCCAACCCACGCCTCTAGACACGCCCCCTGATCTGCGATTTGTCGTTCATGGCACTGCCCCGCCCTTTCCATGGCCACACCCTTTCCTCCTGAAGGCCAATCCTGCGCCAGCCTTAAGCCCAGCCCCTCCTTTTCTGGGCTCTGATAGGTTTCTCCAAGCAGGTCCCGCCTTCCTACTGAAATTCCATTGGCTTGTCCCTGCCCCGCCCCCACAGGTAGGCTGAACTCAACCCTTTCCTCTCTGCCCCTCCCCTCCAGTGCAGTTTGACAGTCCGGAGTGGGAAAGGGCCCCAGGCCCAGCCAAGGAGCTCCGGAGACCCGCGCCCAGAAGTCCTCAGCCTGCAGAACGCGTGGATCCGGCCCTGCCCCTGGAGAAGCAGCCGTGAGTGGGGAAGCCGAAGGTGGAAGAGCCCTGCTGAAATCCTCCGACCACCAGTAGACTCCAGCCCCTCAGATTTTTTCTTTTCCCTCCCTGGACTAGGGAGCTGGGGGAGCTTTGATTCATTCGTTCACTCCACTCATTTCTTCAATTAATCTTCACTGGGCACCAATGCCTGCTGTGTGCCAGACACCCAGCTAGGCACAAAGCAGAATGAGATGGGGTCCCTTTCTCGCTGGGAGCAGGTTCTGGGTTCGAATCCCTGCTCCGCATCTCCTGGCTGTGTGGCCCGGGGCAAGTCACTTAACCTTCCTGAGCCTCAGGCTCAAAACCTCCAAGCTCAAACACTGCCTGTCTCACTTGGTTGGGGCTCACAACCTGAAAGCAAAAAGACAGAAATTATTCTCACCCCAGGATCTCTTGGGACGGAACTGGGAAGAGCAGGATTCTGGGGGGGCTCCCAACTTTGGGCTGGGGTGCGGTGCATGAGCTGGGAGGGTCTGGGGCTTCTTGGTGTCCCTCCAGCCTGGGAGCTCCTTGAGGGACTCCCAGAGCCCAGGCCATGCCATCACAGTCATTCCCAAACCTCTTCGGTGGGCAATAGACAACTGGTTATTTAACACTGAGGCATAGGATGCGAAGTTTATTCTCTTTTCAATTTTCTTTCAATACAAACGATGGCAAAGTCTCCGTTTGGCGCTCTTCTGTCTTTGACACCTGCTCGTAACAGCTAACCTCTCTTTGAGCACAGTAAAGAAAAATATTAAATAAAGAATGGTACAAGGGGCTGGCTGGTTAGCTCAGTTGGTTAGAGTGTAGCCTTGTAACACCAAGGTCAAGGGTTCGGTTCCCCATACTGGCCAAAAAAAAAAAAGGTACAGGTGGGTGGGGATCCGGGATGTGGCAAAACTCATGAAAGTGATTGAAGTTGGTGAATTAGGAAGGGGTGTTGAGGACACTTGGGGACCCAGCCAGATGGGGGCTGTCAAGGTCAAGGTGAGGTCTACGTGTTGAATTGGAGGTAGCATCTCCACCTTTGACCTGGGCTCAGCTGCTTCCCAAGGGAAGCTGTGTCTGCCCGATGACCAGGCTCCTCCTGAAAAATCCAAGGGAATTTCCCCCGATTTGTAGCCTGGGTGTCACAAGCCCTTGCACCAGCTGTACCTGGCCCAACCCCAGGGAGTGTTTGGGGGTGGCCCTTCATGAGACATCTGCCCTCACCCCCTAGGTGGTTTCACGGCCCGCTGAGCCGGGCAGATGCTGAGAACCTCCTGTCACTCTGCAAGGAAGGCAGCTACCTCGTGCGGCTCAGCGAAACCAGCCCCCAGGACTGCTCCCTGTCCCTCAGGTGAGCCCCCAGCCTCACAGGGACAGAGGGTCACAGGACCGCATGCATCACACTTATAGGTTAATTGGATGGGAGCCCAGGGGTGTGGTTCCAGCAGCCAGTGGGCAGGGCTTCCAGGCCCGTGGGTGGAGGTTTTTAGCATAAGGGCAGGGCTTCCAGGGAGGTCACTGGCATGATTCCTGCCGGGAATGAGCTCGCTGTCACTGGAGGTATGCAAGAAGATGAAGCAGGATCCAGGCCTTGGGTGAAATGGGGAACTAGGTGTGCACGGTTTCTTTAGGCTCCCCTAGTCCAAAAGTTGAAGTATTTTTCCTTGTGTCTGTCTGAAGCCAGAATCTCAGAGCGGCCCTGTAGGCATTTGAGTTTTAGGCTCTGATTCCATGAGCTTCTGTTCCTAAGATTCTAAGTGGGTCTAATTATAAAACGCTCCCAAGATTCTCCTAGGTGTCTGAATGCCAGATCTAAAAGGACAAGATTGGAAGAGGACTTTGGAGGCAGGTTCAAATCCTGACTCTGCCACTCTCTAAATTCATCAACCTCTCTGGGCCTTTGTCCTCATCCGTATAGCAAGGGCAGTAACAGCATCAGCTTCCCGGTGGTTCCGTGATAATCAGACAGACAAACAAAAACAGGTGAAAAAATACTGGGAACAGTGCCGGAACACAGGGCATGCTTAATTAGTGTTAGTAATCATGATAAAATGATTCCCAGGTTCTAGGTCATTCCACCCACCACACATGGAGAGAAAGCAAAGGGATCCCAGACCGGGGTTGATTAGGGGGAACCCCGAGGGGCCGTACAAGGGATCGGAAACTTGGGAGAGAGAAGGGGTGGTGAGCTCACTCGGTTAAAGCCTGGAGCTGGTAACACCAAGGTCAGGGGCTCTGATCCCCTTACCGGTCAGCCGCCAAAAAAAAAAAAAAAAAAAAAGGGAAAGAGAGAATAGGGTGAGTCTGGGCGTGCTCGGAGTGACCTAAGAGGGGTCCTCAGGCCCCCTGGTGCTAGGTCCTGTCCCTTCATTGAATAAGCATTAATTGAGCACCTGCTGTGTTCCAGGCCCTGTCCTAGTTGCTGGGGCTCTGGCAGTGCCAGAGACAGAGATAATTTAGATAGAGATAAGGGCTAAGACCCAAACAGAACAGTGGAAAATTGGAGAGTGTGAGTAGGGGCTCAGAGGTGGCCTCTGTAAGGAGGTGACATTTGAGCTGAGCCATCAGGAAATCAAAAGAAAGAGTGCGCAGGGGTGGAAAGTGTCCTGCCAAGGTGTCCTCTTTGGGGTCTCCTGACTGAACCAGAATCTCGAATGTGTTCGGCCACGCCCCAGGGCATGGGTTGAGGACTAGGTTTTAGAGCGGAAAGAGAAACTTACAAAGTCAAGATCAGGGAGGTGGAACCTGATCCTCTCCTATCCTGCAGAAGACATGCACTGGGTCTGCTGTTGGGTCCCAGTTCCTGGAGAGGAACCTCAACCGCAGCCTACTTTCACAGGGGACAAGCTTGAGATGGCAGCCTGGCCAGTGGGGAATAAGCAAACAGCTTCACACCAAACCACTGTTTACCACCAATGTCTGGGGACACCAGTGCCTGGCCCTGGGGACTGTGGGAGGTTGCTTTAGGGATGGAAAGCATGAGTGGGTCTGGGGTGTTCAGTGCTCCCTTGGACCCCTGTCCCCCAGGAGCAGCCAGGGTTTCCTGCATCTGAAGTTCACACGGACCCGAGAGAACCAGATCGTGCTGGGGCAGCACAGTGGCCCCTTTGCCAGCGTACCCGAGCTGGTCCTGCACTACAGCTCACGCCCGCTGCCGGTGCAGGGTGCAGAACATCTGGCCCTGCTGTACCCGGTCGTCACACACACCCCCTGATGGGGACCCTCAGCCCCCTGCCCAGCATCCCTGCCTGATAAAGCTGGAGGACAGATGGACAAACAGACTCTCTACCCTGCCAGACCCTGGTCTACATCAAAGCCACCTTATCTGACTCCTTGTGGGTTCTAGAACTCAGAACTGTGTCTCAAAACCATCCCCTGGCCTGGAAAATAAATAAGTTATTGTCTGTTTCAAGTGTCCTTCCTGGGCAGCAGGGAAGGGGGATCCCTGTCTCCCAGTGGGAGAAAGAATTGGGTGAGCCCTCGCCCCTCCCATCTGTCTCCCCATGTGTGGAATGGCCACTGTGGGTGTCCAGTGTGGCACTGGGGGGGGGGGGCAGG